GAAACGCTCCCCACTCAGTTCGGATCCATTTTCCTCGTGGGCCCTCCCGGTGATACCGGGTTTATGCTAAGAGATACCGTGACACCAGGGGACTCTGCTTCCCAAGATCATCTAGTTCACTCTTTTTGAGACAGGACCTCATTATGTAAGCCTGGCTGGCCTGGAGCTCACTCTGTAGACCAGGCTGGCCTTGAACTCCCAGAGATCTGCCTGCCTCAGCCTCCCAACTGCTGGACTTAAAGGGGTGCACCACTGCACCCAGATTCACTCTTCATAGCCCAGGATGACCTTGAACATGCTACGCGGCACATGAGCTGGAACTTCTGGTCCTCCTGTCCCACCTCACTAGTACTGGGACTGCAGGTGTGAACTGCCGTGACTGCAGGTGTGAATTGCCGTGACTGGTTTGTGTGGTGCTGGGGATGGAACAGGCTTCACGTATGCCAGGCAAACACTCCGCCAACAGAGCCACAGCCCTAGCCCAACTTTGTTCATGCCTCTTTTGTTTGTTGGTTTGGTTTTATTTTTTCGAGACAATCTCTCTGTGTAGCCCTTGCTGTCCTGGAACTCGCTCTGTAGACCAGGCTGGTCTCGAACTCACAGAGATCTGCCTGCCTCTGCTTCCTGAGGGCTGGGATTAAAGGCGTGCGCCACCGTCACCCAGCCCTTTGTTCACTCTTAAAGCAGCTTTCCCAGGTGTGACCCAGGCCTTCAGCAGCAAGACTGATACTAATTCTTCCAGATTCTTCCAAGGCACACACGCAGCATTGGGGTGTGTCAGCACTACTCTGCTTGTCAGAGAAGCGACCGTGGAGCAGAGCATGGTGGCACGTGCCATTAGTCCCCGTAGGAAGCAGAGGCAAGCAGATCTCTGAATGTGAGGCCAAACTGGTCTATAGAGTTCCAGGACTGCAAACAAACAAACAAACAAAACAAACAAAAACGGAGCCTTTGGGGCTGGGAAGACGGCTCAGTGGGATGAGATCTAAGTCTGGATCTCAGTACCCAGGTAGAAAACTCCGAGAGGCCATGCATGGCTGTCACCCAGTGCTGCTGTGTAGGGCAGAGACAAGAGGATATTGATGCTGTAACCATTGCAGCGAGAATTCTCTTTGATTCAAGAGAAGAAAGCCAGGTGTGTCTGCGTACACCTGTGATCCCAGACGTCAGGAGGTGGAGGCAGAAGAATTGAGAGTTCAAGGTCATCCTCATCCACACAGAGGATCTGAGGTCCTATCTCTTTTTCTTTTTTTTCTTTTTTCTTTTTTTCTTTTTTTTGGTTTTTCCGAGACAGGGTTTCTCTGTGAAGCTTTGCGCCTTTCCTGGAACTTGCTTTGGAGACCAGGCTGGCCTCGAACTCACAGAGATCCGCCTGCCTCTGCCTCCCGAGTGCTGGGATTAAAGGCGTGCGCCACCACCGCCCGGCCTGAGGTCCTATCTCAAGACAAAATAATCTAGGGGCTGGAGAGATGCCTTATCGGTTAAGGTCATTTGCTGCTCTTCCAGAAGACCAGAATTTGGTTCCTAGCATCCACTGGGAACTCAGCTCCAGGGATCCCATGCTCTCTCCTAGTCCCTTTTGTCTTACTGAGGTTGAGCGAGATGGCTCAGCAGTTAAGAGCACTTGTTACTCTTGCAGAGGACCTGGGTTCAATTCCCAGCACCCACATGGTGGCTCACAACCATCCATAACTCCAGTTTCCAATGCCCTCTTCTGACCCTCACAGGCATCTAGCATGCACATGGGCATACATCCTCACAGGCAAATACTCACACATAAAATAAATACATCTAATATGATTTTAATCAACTATTAATTAAAACAAAGAACGCAAACGTCATTCCTCCACTGCAAAACAGGCCATGTCTTGCAGCCTCAGTAGCCATCTGTGGCCAGGACTGCATGGGACAGAGAGAGTTTCCATTATTACAGAGAGCAATGGAGAGGGACTCTGGAGATCAGAATTCTCCTGTCTAAGGAAAAGAAACAATGGACAACAGCAGAGCCTCTCTATACATCCCTCACGACGGTAAGTATTTGTTGTTTTCTTCTGTATCCTGCCTGTCCTATGCCCCTGGCCACACAGCTATCATGAATCTTCTCAGAGCTTACGTGAGAACCCCATTTTCTCTTTTGGTTAACAGGCCAGGATTCGGAGCAGACATACCAGGGACAAGGTATATACACCTACATGGGCTGTGAACTGTACAACTCCACTGTCAAGACCAATAGACTCCCTCCAGCCATGTGGCAGGTACCCCATGTTCATGGTTAATGGCTGCATTCAAGTCCTGGCTTCCCCTGCCAGCTCTGGGAACACCGGGCTTCGCTTTTCTGAGTCTCGGGTTCCTTACTAGGAATAGGGAGAGTGGTCTCTGAGCACTTACATGCCCGGCATCCAGGATGTGCTGGGGCAGCACAGGTCATATTCTGCAGTGGGTGTTTTTATCTTGACATCTCATGGAGCTGATTCAGGTGACCGGGGACATCAGGCTTCTCAAAGCAAGTGGCACTGAGCTAGGCTGACACAAGGTGCCTGACAGTCAGTCCCCGCCACCCACACCTGTCCGGGATTTTAGCTTCTTCACACTCCTCGTGAATGGTGTCATCACGTCCCAGGGGAGACACTGTATTTTCTTAACCAGTCAATCTCCTCCTGATGGACACTTAGGTTGCTTCCGGATTTTCTCTTGTGTAAGAGGAAAGGCATTCCATCTCTTCTTCCTTCAGCTGGCTTTCAAAACCATGTCGATTGGAGGCCTTGCGTCCCTATCTCCAGCATTTTCTTATGTCCAGCTGTCCAGAATAAGCTAGGGCCACAGAAGTCTGAGGGGATTCACTGAGCACAATGGGGAAGGATGCTGGATGCTTGGGCCAGGCTGTGGGGCTCAAATCTCAGTCCCCCTCACTGCTGGGGGACCCGGGGTCAGTTATGAGTGCACGTTCCAAGTTTCAGCCCAGCACAGAGGGCAGCAGAAACACCTCCTGTACAGGAAAACGAATTAATACTACACATGCTGTTCTTAAAACAGTGCATGGGGCACAGCACTCTACAGTTAGGGGATTTATTTATCAGAAAGTGATGTAAACCCTTTCAAATCCCACTGTTCCGCCACGTGAAACAGCCACCATCTTTATCAGCTCAGCGGTGCCTACTTATGAGAGCAGAGGCTGGGCGTGGCCATTGACATTGCCTCACGGAGGAAATGAAGGTCCTCGACCCCTCACCTCCCAAGAGGTCCAGCCTTGGTCCCAGACACTAGTGTGCAATTTTCCCTAACAGCACTTGGTCCGATCATCTCCAAGAGGTGAGAAGGTACACAGGCTGGAGGAGGTTAACTGGGGGGGTGGGGTGGGGGGAGAGCTCCATCTGTGAAGCTATGGGGAGGCTATCATCCCGGCCTGGTGAAGACTTTCCAGTGTGGCTGCTTTGGGGTCCCCCACTCCTGTAAGCACCCCTCACCCCTGCCCTGTAAGTAAGCCCAATACACTCACTGGCTCCCCACGGTGGACTTTTGTGGAACGGAACTTTGGTTTGACAATCTTATGAGGACGAGGTGGGTGTTGCTTATATCTTCCCCCAGGGGAGGAATTCCAGAAACACCCACATTTGCCATGTTGTCTGTGCAGCCTTTAAGGGAGTCACTTTAACTGCCCTCTCCAAACGGCTGTGTCTAACTTGGAATTTGCAGAGACAAATGTCTTGGGACACAGAGGTCTCCTAGGCGGCGGCAGCTCTTAGCATCTCAGAGATCAGCTCTCTGCTTCCCAGGACACTTCATGGTCAAAGGAGTACAAATACTGACACACACATGTGCAGGAGCACGCGCACACACACGCGCAGGCACACTCACATGTGCACACACACTGACGTATGCACACATGCACACACATGTGCACACACACATTAGGGCCCGCCGCTGGGCCAAGTCTCAATGAGACCCTTGTGCTGGTCTGGTGGACGACAGACAACCCCACAGCACAATCAGGGTTTCAAAGCTACACCCCGCTTCCCTCTTCCCCTCCCCAACTGATGGTCCTTGAGGTGACTCAGCTTTGAAACAGCTTATGCAGGACTTTGCAAAGAAACTGCGGGAGGGGAGGCCCCCAGCCCTCGGGGAGCAGGCGCAGTGGGAGGCTGGCTTTTGGGGCGCCCCTTTTTTCAGCTGGCTCCAAGGCCCAGTCCCCGCCACGCCAGCCTGGGGTCGCAGGGCCCCGGGGACCGCGCCCGCAGCCGCCCACCATGTGTGCGCCAGG